CTAACTAAAATGCCTGTGGTCCACTCAGATCTGTGTAGTCATTTAAACCCATTTAAGTTACTTCTGTTGATTAGATATGGCAATAAGAAACCTCAAGAATATGCGATGAATGACTGAATTGCACTGCTGATAGAGACTCTGTTTTTGCAGGGCAGTCCATTTACATACATTTTTAATTTTTTTAACCCTTGGAGTCTGTCAAATGCAATGTGATCAGAAATTAGTCAATGCAGCTCTCCATGAGGTTTTGACATTTTTCCTTATTGCAAACACTTTTCCTATAAAACTCAGATTTAATGCATGGCATTGTTAATGCTTTTGTTGTAGCCTTTTGATGTTATTCACATCAGCAGTTGACAGCACAGAAACAGGAGACAGAGAGAAACAGAGACCAAGTTGTAACTGCAGGCAAGTCAGAGCTGGGTGATGAATAAGCAGAATAGGAATTTCAGATTAGACATTTGGAAGATCTTTGTCACTAGGAGGGTAGTGCAGCAGTGGACTGGACAGCAGTTGCCAGAGAGATTGCAGAATTACCATTCTTCTCAGTTTTGAATACTCACCTTGACAAAGTCATGGATGTCCTGGTACAATGTTGGTAGTGATCTGATCTAGGGGAAAAAAAAAAAAAAGAAAATCTAAGATGTGAGGGAAGAAAACCTAGAAAACCTAGGCAGTTGTTGCTGTTGTTAAAATAATAGGCAACATTTCAACTGCCGTATCCTTCCTTATTTCTGAAATAGGGTACTGAGACTGCCTGGCTCTAAACAGCCAAAAGGAAGACTTTTTTGGACTGGCTGTGAGAAGTCTTCCTAACATTTTTACAAGCGTTTGCCACCTGCTTAATTTACCCTAGCTGTCAATCTGCCCCATGAACTTGGGTAGGCACACTTGTCTGTGCATGCTTTATGGCACTCTCTAACATGTACCTTGCTTGCCAATGGGCTAAACTAGCCCATAAATGTGCCAAACAGCAACAGAAAGATCTTTGAAAGGATTTTTCTATTCACCCTATTATGGCACTAAAATGGTCTTATCCTTTTCAGCTATCCTAATCTATCAGTCTCTCAAGAATGTCTGTTACTATGTAACAAAGAGAAAGTACACCTGTCCTAGTTCCTAACATCTCATGTACTTTATTAGGTTTTTTTCAGTTAGGGCTTTTCTAGGACAGTTATGCTGGAAGGTGAAGAGAATAGCATAGAAAAAGCAGTGCTAGTCAGAAGAACAGTATCCTATTCCACATGAGAGACCAAGTCTTAAAAAAAAAAAGAGAAAAAAAAAAGAAAAAGAAAAAAAATCTTCTAAATATGAAAAAGAAGCAAAATGGTAATGTTTCCTAAAATACAAAAGATTTGAAACATGTCAGCCTGGGATTGCTGAAATGTATCCTGTTAGTGTTAAATCATTGTAACATGTATTTTGCATTGACTGTTTTATTGTACATGAATACAATATGGCCATTAAAATATTTTGAAAGTAAGTCTAAATGTTATCAACCAAAATAAAACCAATGAAATGCAACATTTCTACTTAAATAAGAACTTTGCAACAAATACATTTTCTCATAGAAGATTATACAAGATGCTATGGAACATTTTAATTCACTCCAAACTGCATTGATCAGAGGAGAAGTATCCCCCATGAGAATTTTTTTGATCAATGGTAAAATTGAATTGTATAGCCAGGCAAACGCTTTCCTGTGATATACTTCTAGATGGGGAAGCAGGTCCTGTGTCAAAGGTACTTATTTGACTGGCACACCAAAACTCAAAATTAACGTAATCTATGGGAGAAGATGTCTACATGTCCATGGAGAATCAGGTGAAATGTGTATTTCCATGACAAGGGACTAATTATGCCAAAATGGTTGCTTCTTAAGAAATGTTCTCAAATTAGATGGATTTTGAGTGAGAAATTGGTGAACTAATTTATAGTATCCTAACATCTTACTGTTCTTCACTGATGACAAATATAATTCTATACTTAACAAGAAAAACTCTTGAATAAGATATAAATTGATACTTTAAAATTGTTGCAAAGTAATAGAGATGCCTAAAAAATTAATCTTGTCAATACCCTTGGACTAAAAAATATGGGTTTAAAATTATGGTAGACCTTGAAATTGGTTGTCTGCTCAGTCAGATAAATGCTCATTGAATTTCTCAGTCCTATGCTAAGAAAGGAACATTTTGAATTTCCCACAGTTCTAAGTGAATATTTAGGCATGTGCTTAATTCTGAATATTATAAATTAAATGTGTGATAAGATATTCAAGTATTACATGTCAATAATGTCCATCTATTCTTTGTCTCCAAATAAACATCATTAATTACTGAAGAAGTATGTATTTATTTTTTGTTTGTATGATTTTTAAATGCAGTAATTTTTTTGGATATGAGTATATAAGTAACACCAGCGTAGTTCCACTTTCCACTATCCTATGTTTATTTCTACCTGAGCTATGATGAAATCTGTGTGGGTTTTTTAATCTCTTTGACTGATAAGAAAAAGGTAGGGAAGAGTTTTTTCACTCTTCTTACAATACCCATCTTTGGAAAGTTTCCCTGTTTCTTGGCCTATGGCTGAATGATGGGAATTTCCCCATACCCATATGGGCTACATGAAAACAGCGTGTGACTGGAGCACAGGGTGTCACACCTGAATGCCACCTGCCATGCCATAATCTAACTCACAAGGTTTTCTATAACTGGAACTTTACCTTTGTCCCATGCTTGATACATGGACAGTTGCAGATGGTGGGAGTTAGTGACCTTTTCCAGCCACAAAACTGATTTTAAACATCATAATATCTTCCTGTATTTCTTCTCATTGCATCTTATTTTTCCTGTTCTGCACCTTACAGGGAGCTTTAAAATGCTGAACAGAAAGAAGCAGTATTTTGAATAGAGCACTTTTCTTTGACGTGCAAGTGCTCAGCCACCAAACTCAGCAGCGCTTCATGGGCAGCCAAACAGTTTAAAGTTTTCATTCTTGTTTACAGAGCTAATTAAGAATCCTCGTAGTACTCTTCTCAAATGACAGAGTATCAAAATTACAGTAACGACCTTGTGAATGAAAAGGTTTTCCTGAACGCATGACCAGGAGCAGAGGTGAAGAAAACTGCTAGCCTTAAAAAACAGAGAGCATATCAAATACACATGCCTTTATAGTCTGTATTATGTAAATCTTTTAAATAATTGTTTGTGCATTTGGAGCGTAGGTTTTTCTGCTCATTTAAATACTTCCCCCAAGCAATTCTATTTGTTTAAAACAATGTTTGGTTTCCCATTAAAAAGTAAGCATTTGCCAGTAGCTCTGTAGACTTACAATACTGTAATGAGTTCCATATGGCAGGGCTGCTCTAATAACATTGTTTTCTTAAATTTTTGTTATTTTAGGAAGAAAAGGAGCTAGATATAGTAATTTTAGCATGTAGTGACTCAGTATTTTATGCTTTAAATTTTTGTGGTCTTTGTCAAGTTGTTGGTAAGACTGGAGGGTCATAGTTGTTCTTTCTGGCTGTAAAATCTATGAATATATTGCATTGATGCAAATCAGTGCTGCTGTAAATCAGTATACAGAGACTACCAGTTTCATTTTTAAAAGAAGGGTTAAAACCCTAATTTTTAACCATCTAGATATTCAAAATAAGCTTTTATTTATTCTAAATATAAAACGTAGTTTCACCCAAAGACATATCAATTGTCCTCTTGGTATGATATACTGGGAGCCCATTTGCGCAGGTGCTTACTGACAAATATACTGCATGTTTATAAAAACCAGGTCTTAGGGATGTACTGGGTATGCATTAGGAGACTACTTTACTGTTTTGATTTTAACGTTACGAGTGCTTCTTTAGATTTCTATAGACTATCTTAAAATGCAAGTCAAGAAAAAATGCATGAGAAGTATTACAAAATGAGCTTGTTGCTTTGTAACAGACCTTAAATCAAGTGTTTATTAGTAAGCTGCCAGCAAATATTTGCTTGCATACCTTTTATCATTTCAAAGGCTTTTATGAACAGTACGTCACAGTGCTAGTGTAGTTTACGTTCAAATACCAGTTTCTAATGTTTTAAGCTTTCCAGAGAAGTAATAGGGAGAAAAATGCTAAGAAAATGAAACTTAGCTCTTTTCTAATAAAATATTTTTGCAAGCATTTTGTCTCTTCAAGATGCTGTGACATCCTATTCAGTTGAAGGAGCACACAACTTTAATTGCACGACTCATTCACTTTAAATATTTAATAATGCTATTATTAGTTGCGCTGAACCAGTGAAGTAAGATCTGCAATATCTAGTGCTGGTCATCATTTTTATTCATCATGGTTTAATAAGCATTCTAATTACAGATTGAGGAAGAAATATGAGTTAGCTTTGTGGCTTTGCTTGGGACTTCTATGCACACTGGTATGATTGGAAGGGATTATACAAGCTCTGTGAGCATAGCTGATTGTATTCAAATACACTGATGCAGGCTTCCCAGTCCTGACACATTATTCTTCATATATAAGTAACTGCGGAAAAGATAGTGCATAAAATTATGAGTCCTGACACTATTAACTCCATCTGGCTTAGTTGTGAAGTATGAAAATTTGGAGGCCAAGTGGACTTGTTCTTGGCAAGTGTTCTAATGCATGTATTATCAGTGGAATTAGGCTTCAACTATTTTTACCAACCATTTCCCATATTTGCTTGCAACTTGCACAAATAGCAAAGTTATTTAGAGTGAACAGTCAGTTAGGGAAGCTTTCATTTGGAGATTTCATCCGAGTTCAAGCTGAAAGACCATTTGTAGACAACATAAGCCCTCCGGGCTCAGTTCTCGAGTAAATATAGATGATGATAATTTAGTATAACTTTCTCCCTTTAATATTACAAATATTGCTATTTGCATGCTATTTGCATTCTTATGTTTTAATGGGAAGTATAGTAGGGCAGACTAATATCTGGTGCATTTTTTAATGTTTTGTTAAAACATCATTTTTTCCTCATCAGCAACTTATGCGGGAGCGACAGCAGATGGCCAGCCGCCCCTTTGCTTCTGTCGATGTAGCACTGGAAGTAGGAGCTGAGCAAACAGACTTTCTACGAGGTCCATTAGAGGTAGGAACAGTGGTGCTGACAAGGGACCATTGTGATTTGCATATTTATATTGCTAGTCTCATCTGCATCTGCTTCTGAAACCAAGCAGCGTCTGATTACCTGGAGCTGACAAGTCTCAGCTACATATGTTATGCCATTTTCAAGGCGCAGAGTTTTAATAGCATGACACGAGCTGTAACAAAAGCCACTGGAGAATCTATTAGCCTGGGCTGGAGTGACAGCCAGCTCACCTGGCAGTCCTTCCGTGATGGATGTGAGCTGAAGGAACGCAAGACACAGGTATTAAGAAGGGAGCAAACCTCATGCTCGGTCCTTCACGTACACAGTGCCCCCTAGTTAACATCTATCTTAATTAACAAAGATTACAGCAAACAAACAAACAAATAAATAAATAAAGCAGCTGTGAGTCGAATTTCAATGTTGTGTTTTATATGTACAGGTTTAAAGAATACAGAGTATACTGCATATTTTTGTTTGTAGATAATGGCTACATTACTGCATTCTTTTATTGTAATTGCAGTACATTGGAAAAGAAATAATAATATGCAAGGCAATGTGATGTTGGAATAGTGTAATAATGCATGAAATGGATTCTGGAAGTTTCACCTGAAAATAGAGGGAGAATTACAATATGTGGATAATAATGAATATCTAATCTAGGCTGGGTTTTTGGTAGATCGTAATCCTCTATTCCTTTACTTTTATTTACAATATTGTGTTTACAGTTATTACTTTATCTTATTTATGGTGAGACCTGGGAATGAGGTGTGATAGCTCTGAAATCTTTCAAGATTGTACTTTTCTTTTCATTGCTGCCAATTCCTCTTAAATTCAAAGCTTCTCTTACTTTTCTCAATAGCCTCTTTCAATGGAAGATTAAATACACTCTATCAAATCTCTAAGGTTCATGGAGAAGTGAGCAATGTGAAAAAGAGATTCATAGCAGAAAGAAAAAGAATCAGCTCTTGAGTGCTTATCAAATTGAGGTGCTCTGTCCTGCTACTGTATAGGAAGCAATCACAATTGTTCTTGCTGGCATAATTTAAATACTTGAATAGACAGTGAATAAAGATGCCATATCTCTTTGAAGAAGCTTTGTTGTTTTCTGACCAAATACTAGAACCCCCACATTCTTCACCAATATCACCATATTTCTGTCTCCTTTTATCTTGGAACAGAAGACCTCTCCAGCTCCCCAGGCTGAGGACACATTACACTGTAGTTAAAAGTTAACTTTTTTGAATGTGATTTCATTGTTTCTACACTGGTATCTGGGAACATTTTCTCTGTTGTCTTTTCAGAGGGAAGGAATGAGTGGGAGCTGAGGCATCCGAACTCTAATTCTGTACATACTGATTATTTAATTAAACTTTAGAAGTAAACTTCACAAGTTAATTGCCACATTTTCTTTTCTCATATCTTTTATTTAGCACTAAAAGAGGTAAATGCTAAAATATTTTAATTATATTTTACAGTTTTTATTAGCTTTTTCTTCCTAGCCTAGCATTTTCTAGTAATTGTTTAGTATTCAGTATCCATAGTGTTTTTTCCTAATTAATACGTAGTTGTACACAAAATGGAGTCCATTCAAAGTTTCCTTGGAATTACAATATACTGATCTATATCAAAACAAAGCATTGTGCTGAGGATTAAATGAATGTGATTCAGGGTATTGATTGTCCTTTGATGTATGTTCTGTAAGAAAGAGCTATATTAAGCTTCTGTTCCCTATCTATCCTCAATTTGCGAAAGGACACTAGAAGTTGTAATGCCATTCTGTTCTTCATTCTCAGCTCTCTTTCGGACTGAAGGGAATTTGGATCACACATGTACTTCCAGGATGCAGTGCTTAAATAGGATAGTACGAAGTAGCTGTAACTTCATTTTGTTGTATTAAGTTAGAATCATTAAACTATTTGAATAATTCTGTGATATCTGATGCCCATTGGGATCTTTTAAAGTTAGAGATCTTTTGGTAGAAATGAGGAATATACAGTAACTCTCTTCAAAATGTTCCACCGGCATTGCGGAGATCTTGCACAGATATACCAGGGGTTCCAATTTTAATGGTGGTGCATTGCATCCCCTCACCTCATACTTTTATTGAGATTGTGTGTTACTCACTGATACTTTGGACATTGTTGGTATACTTTTATTGACGTTGTAATAACTCCGGCACTTCCAATGACATTGTATTGATCCATGGGTCCCTGGGGCACAGTGTAATGTCATTGAACTGTTCCAGACATTACTGCAAGTCTCCCATTCAACTGCATAGTAAGACTGCTGTTCATTAATGTCATCTGGCTTACATGATGGTGGTTTTGTACAGCTGGTGTTCTATATTAATACTGATGGTCTGGTACATGTCAGTATTCATATGACTATCTACATGGTAATTCCAGTATGCCATTTGGTTAGCTTTTCTTTTATTATTTGTATTTATTTGTAAATATCCAGAGCAACTGTTTCACTGTAGAGTTTTAGTTTGCAGTAGTAAGGCATTTTTTGCACAGTGTTTGGAAAGCATATCTAAAAAAATAAGAGTATGAATACTGTACTTAAAATGATTGCCTAGTTTAGATACTTACAATACAACTGATAATATTTGGGTCTATTTTCAGTTAGCAGCAATTTGCAACAGATTAAAATAAAATCCTGAAAACATTACAGAAGAGAGTTGGATCTCTGTTATTTTGGGCTCTCTTTCTGCTTTGGAGTCTTTACCAGCCAGTCTATCTTAATGTTTTCCCAACAAAATGACAGTATCTTGATATTAACTCCTTCAAAAAACTTTAATCTGCATCATATTCCTCCTGTTTCCTGCTGTCTGAGGGGGTTCAGACATTGGCAATAACCTTTGCTCTTCCCAATTTAAACCATATTATTCATCAATCTTTACCTCTTCAGACTGCCTTTCTGTGTAACTGAATCACAACATGACATTAACAAGGCTCATCTTGTCATCCATTCTGTCATGTTGGCCTTATATCAACTATTAAATATATTATTGTCAGCTTAAACTTAACATAAAGGAAATCAAACTTAGTTTTTCCCTCTTGGTATCACGTCAACCACTACCTTGCTAATGATAACATGGTAGCATCCTAATTCTAAATCTATGAAGCAATATGTACTCCTGCTGTGGCATGATATTCATGATACTAATCTTGTGCACAATTATCCTATTTAACCCATGCCAGCCCTAATCTGCATCTTCATCTGTTTCCATTATGATTGCCATTTCCCTACTTAGAAGTGATGAAATCTGCATGAGCTCTTACAAGGGAAGGTGAGGCTGGAGGCAGGCCATGCCTCACTCTTCCTCCTTCCTCTTGGGAAGAACAAGAGCAGCCTAAAGTTACTCCGGTGGAGGAGCGGAAGGGAAGTCTGGAAGGCAGTGAACCTCTGCGTCCCAAGAGGGGAACAGTCAAGGGGGGCTACAGTGAAGTGGCTGGTGTCCCAGGGGCAGGTAAAAGAAGAGAAAGAATTCCTAAGGTCCCCTTGTTAGGAGTTTCACATAGCACAGGCTGTTAAGGAGCAGAGTAAGAAAACACCAGAAGCACCCTGTCCAGAGAGTTTGAGAATATGGCGATATTTTGTGATACCACCGTAATTTTTTCAATACCAGAATCATGAAAAATTAAAGTAGCATCATAGATCAATAGCTACAATGCTTCCTGACACTCAGTGCCCTCAGTGTTAAAGGATTTTTTATTCCTTTCATTTCTCTTTCTAGACATCTAAGCCGTTTCCAGACCTGGTTGCTTTTTGCTGCTCAGTATATGCTAAAAGCTAAATAATTTAGGCTATCTTCATATTCTAAGCCTCCTTTAGGCAACATTTTTTTCCCCAAAATATAAACCACTTTTGAAGAGTCACTTCCACTGTGCTGCTGACAGTCATTTTAGTTAAATTGTATGTTAAGTGAAAAGTAATGAAAATGTTTTTTCTGTCCTGCTTTGCCTAACTTCTGGGTATTTTTCAGTTCATTCAGAGCCCGTGATTTTTTTGAAATAGGGACAGATTCTTTCTTTAGGCCTGTGAGATAAGGTGGGCACTACTGTAAACTCTAATGTATGGTCATGCTAAGTCTCTGGACAGCAGCATCTACTGTGCTACATCTGCTGGAGTAAAGACAGATGTGTTATTGCCTGCATAAGAACCAAGTGCAAATTTGCTCTTATGATGATCATCCATTTGATATCTTTACAGTATTACTTGGATATCTATTTTTTTTTGCAAATTGACGTTCTGTAATAATTATTTCTGCAGAAAAACATGCAGTAAATCTTTCAATCATTTTTCCATCAAGTTACTGCATTTCCTGTAAAATTGTCACAGATGTTAGATGGTTCTCTACTTCTGACAAGGTAAGATGATCTCAAGAATTTTGAATTTCAAGTAAAATCTAGCTTTGTTTCTCTAGCAAGCAGTAAGTAATATTTATGGTACATTAAATAAGATTTGAATTTCAGGCACTTCTGATAAGTATGAAGCGAAGATCAGCCATTATATCTCATTTATTTGAGTAAAAGAATTGGAAAGTATGCACCAACACCAGTAGCTATCATTATATCAAGAATGGTTATTGGAAATCAGAGTGACTTATTAAAACACATTAAAATCCTGTAGCAGAGATTTGTGGGGTTTAGGTAATCGAAGTTTATACTAATAAGCTGTGTTGCTGGTTTCTCCTGTGTTGCCAATAAGATGTCAGGACTTTTTAGCTTGCTTTACAAATAAATCCAGTTAAGTTGGGTTCATTTTCTTGTTTAATTTGAATAATTCAGTGAGCAATTTTTGAAACTGCAACCTAAGCATACTTCATTATTTTGTACAAAATGAAACTAGTTGTATGCTTCATCAGCATTACACCTGCATTATTTTGATGACATAATGTCTAGTATCAAGGAACAGATTCTTCCCAACTCGTTGTTACAGGTCATCAGATTGCCCCTTGATAATCTCAGTTCCTAATTTTAGTCTCAGTGTCAGAG